TATTTGCATTACACTTCCTTTTTTTTACCTACATAAGTACATTTAGGTAGTTGCAGCTGGAGAATTATACTGCACTCTTTAAATATTCGCTGAACACTTAATTTTTTTTTTTATATACATGCCAGGGTTGTTGCGAATATTCGCATTCGCATTCGCAACCGCGGAGCTTCCGCATTAATTTTAACATTCACATTCGCTTTCGCATTCGCAAAAATCAATGCGGATCTTTTGCGAATGCGAATATTGAAGGGACCGAAAATTACAGTTATTTTTTTACGAGTTAAACTTGGCCAAATATTTTTTATTCCGAAATAAAAGTACTTTCGGGATAATAAACAAACCGCTTATCCAAATTAAACAAGTTTGGTATCCAATGAAAGAGGACTTAAACAGCTTTAAAACTGAAATGTCTAAAAGAGGAAAGCCACACATTGAAAAATATTTCAATAAAAAACGTTAGTAAATTACCTTAGAACAAACATTGGGTCAGGTATGTATTTACATGAATTTCTTTAGTATTAAGTTTTAAAAATATATAAATAGAGGTGGTAACCTTCACTCGTTATCATCATATATATTATTTCTCTAAGGTGTTTTTTTGTTAGTCTTCCTTTTTATATTTTCCTATGTAAGCAGTTCCACTAATGAGGTGTCATTTGAGAAGTCAGAGGTCCCCTGAGTGGTTATTAGGTAATATTAATGGTCATAACTCCTCTTAAGTAAAGAAATTGGTTTTTTAATTTTTGTTTTTAATTTACCATTGTTAAGCTACACTAAAGGTATTTTGTACTGAAGCACTATTGTGACTGCAGCATCGCTTACACCGTAAACGACAGTGGTGGGCGCACACATAATTCAATAATTAATGGTTCGATAAACTGACAGTTGTCTCTCTCGCACAGCTCCCTTATCCGTGGCACCGTGTTGCTTCGTTGCAAATTAAAAAAATAGTAGCTTATGTACGTGTGAAATAGAAGTATACGTTTTTTGTGCAATATGTTTATTTTTATATTCAAATAAAGAACAATTAACCAATGAAATAAATTACAAAGTTCAGGTATAATTCTTACTACTTCGTTTGAAATGCCAATTTTCTTGCAAATAAATTAAAATTC